ATAGGCATATGCCTACACAAGCTAGATTTCTCCCTTTTGTATCATATCCAGGCCCCCAGCCTATAGGATACTGCTGCCCACGTTCCAGGGTAGGTCTTCTCCCCTTAGGTAATCCTGTCTGGAAAAACCCTCACAGACATACCCATAGGAGTGCTTAACTAATATGTAAAGGCATGGGTTCAATCTTCAGTCAAACCAAATAAATTGCTCAAGTTTTTTGTAGTGTGTACAAAAATAAATGAATTTTATAACTAAATTCATTTGTTTTTCTGATTTATCTCTCCAAATGTCTTTGAGCTGACAGAGTTTCTTTGGATGTCACAAAAAAGTACATAGTATTTGGTACCTTCTCTATTGCTTTAGAGACTAATGGCAGTGGCATTGAAGTTTAGGCAAGGATATTTATTCTACACTTGCCCAGACTTTTGTTTTGGTCTCATTTTTAAAAAATTTTATTTTATTGTTTTTACATTTACTTACATATATATACATTATTTGGGTCCTCTCCCTCCCCCTTAAAACTTTTTAAATGAAAACATGTTCTTCACAAACTTCAGTAGGTTGGTAGTTTCCTCATTGAAAGATTTTCCCCATTTGCAAATTGGATCTTGGGAGTCAGACCCTGTTGCTGTGTTATACCTTGTGAGTCCCTGCCATGATTGCAGGGCAGGATAGAGATGCTGGAGAGAGCTACCCGTCTGCAGAATGTAATGGTGCTGATCAAGGGTGTAAACCTTAACATTCCTTCCAAGTGGAAGCCACTTGCCAGTCTTGCTGCAACTTGGACCCAGTCCCCAAGTAACAGGAATTCGTAAAGTATTAGGGTTTGCTTCTGTGTTAAGTGGGGCAAGCGTATTGATTTCCTTGCTGATACTGAGGCTACATTGCACAAGTCCATGCTTTGGAAACTTTAATGCTGCATAGGTCACTTAGAAATTGAACACCTACTATCCAGAGGTACATCCAGAAAAGAACTGGTCTGTCATAACCCATGTATTCCACTCAGCCACAGTTGCATGTATTTACCCCTTTTATGATGTCAAAACCAGGAAGCGTTCCACCGATGACTCAGGGAGTCCTCTTGTATGTGCACAAAATCAATTTATATGTATCAGCACATTACAGCAGGCCAGCACCTCTTATTCCCTGCCAAGTCAGTTTTCCTCCCCTTTCTATCAAGCAGCATCTGGGAATGTGGGCGAACCAGCCAATCCTAGTTGCCTATGAGGCTAAATCATGAACAAATTATATTTTTTATCACTAGAGAAACTACAGCTAAATCATTACTATTGCATGATGTTTGCATGTGTGATTACACATATGTATTCTTCCATTCCCTCTCCTTGGATTATAAATGTGATCGGTATTAATTTTTAAAGTTTATAAGACAGAAAGAAGAAAGACACCCTCTAGCCTTACTCTCTGTAGCAGTCTTGGTTAACATTATGAAGTGAGTGCTTACTGTCATGAGTTATATGCATATTATATTTTATATAATTGTAATCAGGTTATATATAAATTTTCATTTTATTTTTTAAAATATTCACACTTCTTGCAATTAATGTTTTTCATACTCTAGGAAGAGAGTCATGTTTCTGAGGGTATGTTGTATCACAAAGTTACAGCAGATTTTTTCTATCCATTTATTGAATTTTGTAGTAATTCAAATGAAAATTACTGTGCTGTGGCTAACAGACTAGTAATTAGAGAGGTGAACTCCCTTTAAATGAAGCAATTAAGTATTTGCCTAGAAATGCATTTGCAATGGTAACTTACTAACTCATCACTGAATGGTAGCTGAGTTACTTCTGATGTTTTATTCTAGGTATAGAGCAATATTTCTTAATCTTGGGCCACCAATCCTCTGAGAAATCAATAAAAGCTATAAACCTTCTTTGCAGAGAAATGCATATTCACACAAAAACTAATTATAATGGTAATCAGTTATGATATACCAGGCACTCTGCCAACTGCTTTACATGTGTTATTTTCCTTAATCCTCATCACTGCCCTGTAAGGAATGATTTGTTATTCTCTTGAATTTTGAGATAAAGATTTTGAAAGATAAAGAGGTTAAGTAACCTGTGCAAGCTTGAAGAGCCAGTAAGTTCTCATTTTTGTGACTCTAAAACCTATCCCCTTAAAATTATATGCATGGAGTTTTAGGGAGCTCACCAATTCCTACAGCCTGTTTATTGATACTCAGGTTAAGGACTCTTTGCCTTTAATAATCCAAAGATTTTTGTTGGCAGTGATGACTATATGTAGTTAATGAATCTTGCTATTCATGTAAGTTGTATAATTAAAGCATAATATTTATTGAGCAACTACTATTATCCCTGAGTTTTCCATCTACATGGGAAGATAAGAATTACAGGGCTGGGAGGAGGGAGAAGTGACCTAAACAATCTATGCACATGTGAATAAATGAATTTAAAAAAAAAGAATTATAGGGCTGGGGGTACAGCTTAGTGGTAGAGTGCTTACCTAGCATGCTCAAGGCCATGGGGTCAATTGCCAGCACCACAAAGGAACAAAAATGTGTTTTTAAAAAAGAATTATATACATGAAGCAAAGAGAAAAATACAAATACGGTTGAATATACAGTAGTCATTTCCTTAGATATATGTGAAAATTAATATCTTCACTTTGTAATACTTGGTGCGATTGTCATTCTCTGAATATCTGATTTATAAAAGGGTAAATCAAAGGCCTCCATATCCTTTGGAGACCTGGTAGATTCAGTGTGTCATAAAAATAATGTCTATAAAGTAACTCTGAGAACTAAATATGCAGCACATCCAGATTCCTCAGTGGTGTCATAAGATTCATCTGTCAGCCCCAGGGAACGTGCCCAATAAGAAAATTTAAGAATGTGAAGTCAGCTCCCAGCCATTCAAACTAGGTATCACCAGGTAATTCTGTTGAGTTGGACACATAGAGGACAGCAGAACATCTTGACATTGTTGAATTTTGACTCAAGAAGGGTTCCTATGGAGAGAGGTCTTCAAATGTTTCAGATGCTATATTGGAGGCTTGCCTGCTGTAGGGTCAGTGATGGTATCTGTCAAGCTTGGAAGAAACCGTCAAGCATGGGAAGCTTGTTTAAGCTGACTACTTAATAGTCACGGCTCTCAAAAGAGTGGCTATAGCTATAATCCCAATGGCTGCTTTCAACAGGAGCATAGTATGAGGCAATAGTACACTTGAGTTGAACAGCTCCTGTATACAGAGTTAACACAGATAATGGGTACTGCTGATGGGACAGATGGATTATTTCAAGCTTTCTATTAATATGGTCTTCAGGAAGTATGTGTTTAGAATTTTACTCTATTAAAATTGTTATTGTCTGGACTATATACATGATAGAATTAATTTCAAAATAACATGAATTTTCTTTTCAAAGCACATAGAAACTTTATTACTCTTGATCATGCTAATATTTTATCTCCTTTCATTTATCTGTCATTTTATTTGAAGTGTGTACAATAAGAATATTTGTGTAGAATTGTGTAATACATTTGTGGTATATTTAAGTTAGTTTAATAAGTGACTTTATATTTCATTTCACATAGTGTTCTCGTATTGTTACAACCTAAGTTATTGGCCATTTTAAAAAGCGGGGCAAGGATTGTATGAAAACTTATTATTTCTAAGAAGCTAGAAAATAGTTTTAAAGAACAGAATTTCCAGTAACTGTTCGTAAATCACTTGAATTTATCCAGTTGCTTAAAGAAATTTCCAGGCACATAATATTGCAAATGCCTTGATGGACTTTATTTAATCTCAAAAGAAGAATGTGAAAGGAAAATACTTCTTTTAATATTTGCTTTGAACAGACATTTGTTGTTTTTGAGGTAAATAGATGATTGATATTAAATGTCCATCACACTTTGGTTTCACAGAAAGAATTAAAGTCATAGTTAAGTGTCCAGCCTTTGGATTTGCTCTGTGTTGTGTATGTGTTTGTATGTGTGTATGGAGGGAACTTAAGACCTTTTGATTTCCTAATAAGCAGGGCTCGGGGGCAATAAAACTTGACATTCTTAAGTGTTACTCATATTCATCCCCATGGCCCCGTGTAGTTGTCTTCTTGTTAATGACATGGAAGCCAGCATCATAAACTGAACATGCACCCAAGACGCTACTATAAATTGGAAATGGCATTCGTGTGGTCTGTTCAAACTAAGAGGAAATTTTGGTGGAGGGAGGAGAAAGAAAAATTTTGAGAGTGGAATGAAAAAAGAAGTCCAGGATAAAGAATACACTAGAAGGACAGATATGGGCAAATGCTCCTTAAGTTTTACAGTAAGGTTTATTTAGATGGGCATTTTCATAACTGGAAATAACTCCTTTTTCTCAAAAGCTAAACACTAGATTGGGGCAGCTTCTGCTGCTGCTGCTGCTGCTGTGTGTGTGGGTATGTGTGGGTGTGGGTGTGTGTGGATGGGTGGGTGGGTGGGTGCTGTGTGTGGGTTGGCACTCATGAGATAATACAAATAATCAGCGAGGGAATAATTAATAGTGTGGCACGGAATATTTTTTGATAAATGCTTAGGGAATGAGGTGACAAGCGTGAAATTAGAAAATTCCTTTAGCAATCTAAAATATAAATAGCTTTCGGAACTGAAAAGAGTTTCACTGCTGAAGATTTTATTGTGTTGAGAGGAAAAACTTTTTTCTCTCCCCCACTCCCTCCTCCTTTGCAAGTTGTTTGTCCACTCACAAAACAAATACTCTGAAGCCCAGCACAGCTCATGGGAATAAATTTCAGGTCGAATTAGTACAGTTTCCTTGCTGTCAGGATGCTGGAATTAATGGTGTTTTGATGACACGAATTTTGAAGGGCAAACAAAGAAGCTGAAGGGAGAGAGACATGACTCCTTAGAAGCTTAGTCCTCCTCTCCCCCAGCCTCTCTTGTCTTCCCTGTCATCCGTCTGCCAATCTCCCTGTCCATGGTTAGTTAAAGGCGCTTTTTATCCTCTTTTCTTTCCCACAGAGTTTGCCAGATCCGGCCCGGTGCCTGGGTTCCAGGAGGACACGCTGCAGTTGGCCTTCATCGACTTGAGACAAGTAAGTCTTTGTGTTTTTGTTTTTTGTTTTTCTTTTAAGATGTGTGACTGAAGACCATCAGGTCTTAAGGAAAAGGGGAGGAGGGGGGAATGGCATTGGCGATTCACACTGGAGACCTAAGGGGTTTTCCCTGTGTTTGAGGCCACCTCTTTTATTTGGCTATCTGGGATCCTTAGCTATGGTGGAGTTAAAGGTTTTGTGGGTAGAAGGGAAGGCAGGGGTGGGAGGAGGGATCCAGAGAGTAGAGGGACTCAAGTGACCCTCGAGTGATGTGACCCATTGTTTGTAGTTGACTTTGCAGACACAGCAAAAAGATAACTTGACAAACCAATGCTAAGCAGGTGCACTGATGCAGAGACTGCCTGCTTGGAGAACTTTTGTTTGTGGACAATGCGGCCAGCAGCATTTAAGAAAAATGAAATATTTTCCATTCTGGGTTTTGATTTGGTTTCTTGACTTTTTCCACATGTCTTAAGTCTTCCCTTAAGTCATCATCTCCTTTGTAGAATGTGGTCAGCCATAAGTGATTAAGTGGTTGTTTTTTAAGATGATTAGCAAAGGCCCTGACTGGTCATGCTAACCTGACAGGTGATGAAATCCAGTGCTTAGGCATACCTAAACTTTGACAAGCTTATTAGGTAGGAAGACTCATTCTGGGGGATGTTTCTTGCAGATTGAAATGGGCAGCTTGATAGGCCTTGGTGGTTTGGATACAGTGGAACAGGATGGGCGGGGGCCCAAAGAGGGTGAGAGTTAACTGGGCTCTGTCATCTCTTCACTGTGAAGATGGATGGGGTTGGATAGAAAGTGTGAATAAGTTAAGAATCAATGACTGATGCTTCTCTCCTATTAAAACAATCTTTTTTTTTTGTCTGTTTCAAAAAGGGGGCTGGCTTTGTTTCTCCTGCCATAATGATGCAGTGCCTCTTGTTTTCAGGGCTGACATAGTTTGCATTTTGAAAACTTTTAGATGCCCAGGGTATTTCTTAAAGCTGTAGGACCCCTTGTATTGGTAGTTTCCTTACCACTGTGACTTGATTCATGTTCTAACAGCTTTTAACCCATAATGGATGGCCTGCGCTACCCCTGAGTCCTTGTCGATGGGCAATGTAATCCGTCATCTGATGACAATTCTGGAAAGCCCTGTTAAGCAGAAAACAAAATTGTGTCTATAGACCCGCCAAAGTTTGAGGATTCAGGCCATGTCCCAGAGACGTGTGTCAACTTAATATTTGGAGGCCGGGGTGGGGATTTCTCTTATACATAAAGGCCTTCCCAACATGGTCACAAATGGAACTGTCTCTTCTACACTTAAGACCTTTCACCTGTAGATTCAGCAACTCATCCGAGTCACTCAAGTTTTAACTCTTTGATTGATGTAAGATGGAAAGATTGAGATTTTGCTTTTGGGCTTTGTGGGGTTGGTATCTGGTGGATTCCCCCAACCTACACTGAAACATCTAAGCCAATTGGCTTTTCCTAGAAAGCAGAAATTGAATTTCATTTGAGGAACATATCCAAGATTTTTTTTTTTTACTTTCTTACTATTATTCATGAGAAGGAAGTGAGGTCATTCTCTCTAGTTTATGGTTTTGGTCCCTATGGGAAGCAACTAGTATTCATAGAAAATGTTAACTAAAGGAGTAAGTTAGAAAGCACAGCCAAAATAAGGTAGATCTGAGCTGGGATGAATGCTCTCAGTGAGCAGCATGTTGTTTATGCTTATGTTTCTATTTACTATTACATTTCTGTTCTCAGAGATCCTTTTATGATGTTTTAGTGGTAGAAGCCCAAACTACAAAAATTTATTGATAATGAAAAACTGCTTCTTCCCATTGAATTTAGCATTTAAATTTCTCCTATGTCTATCTTTGTTAAAGAAACTTGGTAGGGATAATTTTCCAACCTGGATGATTTGAGTAATTCCCTTAGCTTTTGGACTGTATTAGAGGCCTCAGGGAGGTTGACTCACTGTGAGAGAAATGGTCCTTTCACATCTTATGCTGAACATTTCTATCTCTGCAATTCATCTTTATCATTCTCAAGACTGATTTAAAGTAGGCATCTTTTGAAAGGAGACTTCTGATTGATAGGTTTAAATTACAAATAGAAAACCCAGGAGTATATTTCCAGAGGAGATAATCTTTTTTAAAACATTTTTATTAGTATATAATAGTTGTATGGGGGGGTTCATTGTGACATTTCCATTTGTGCATCCAATGTCCCCCAGTTTGGTTCATCCACTCCATTATTCTCCTTCTTCCCTCTACCCTTCTTAAAATGACTTTGACAGGCTTTAGTATTCCATATTCATACTCATATAAGCACATCAGTCACATTCACCCTCTTTTACTCTCTTCATTTACCCTCCCCCTCTCATTAGTACCCTCCCATTTAACATGACCTGTTTTACATTCCTGTTCTTCATTGTTTAAGTGTCTATTCATTCTTCAGTAGGGTTTTGCCTGGTATTTTATCTGTAAATATAGTGTACTTTAATCAGTCTAACCCCCTCTATTACTTTTCCTTACCCTTTTCCCTCTACCCCGTATTGTTCAACAGTATTCAGTGCATTTCACTGTGTCTTGTTCCTACACAGATGTGATGTATTTGAATATTATTCACTCTCTATCATTCTCTTCTTTCCCTCAGAGAAGGTATCTTGACATTGAATGAAGCACAGCTAAGTGTCCTGTTGTATGTACTTTTCAGAAATCTAAAGTAGAATTTTTGAATTTTGAGATGAAGGCTAGTCTTAAAAATCATGTATTATAGCCTTGACTTAATCCTTAAATCCCTGCACAATCCCCTACCCTTAGACTATGTTTCATTGTCCTCCTTGAGGAGAAGTCTATTCCAAAACAGCAAGTTCGTCTTTAGACAATTTGGTTATTAGAAAGCTGTTTCTTCAGTTGGGTAAAATGTGTCTCACATTGGTCTTTTGAATCTTTATATTTTTATTGATGCATTTTAATTTGGTGGGGCAACCTTCCTATTTGATAGAAATTGAGTCTTTTTTTAATATGTAGTATTGTTAACCTATTCCTCATCTAGTCTTTATCTGGTTGATTTTTAAGAACCAAAATTGGAGACTTTATTATCACTGGCTTTCATTTTTCTTTTAAGCATATTATTAGCAATACAGGTTTTAGAATTCTAGAATGGCTTGTTTATAACACATGCTGTGTTTAGGTTCTAATTCCATTATCTAGCTTATTAACTGATTTAATTATTATCCCTTTTATAAGTCAAAGATAAAACCATTGAGAATAACAGAAGTTAAAGGAAGAAGTTAAAGTTAAGACAGAATGTAGGGTACATATGTATGCAAGATGTTCTCCAGTGCAGTTCAGCAAGGATTTTCTTTTATTGTCATTGAGAGTCTTTGCCTCACTGGTTTCTGAGTATATTCATTATGATCATGCTTTCATGTTCTCTTGCATTAGGATTTCAGACATGATCATGTGAATGATAATTTTAAAAATATTCAAAACATAGACTAGTTGATGGAATCATCTCTGTATAGACTGTAACAGCAGAATGTCATTTGAGGCTGTAAAATTTCATTAGAAAGCAAATTAGATAGGAATAGCATTCATCCTTTTTCACCTGTTCTATTTCCTTTTCTACTTCTTCAGGAAAAGAGTGAAATGACATTTGAATATACAAACTTTCATGACATGTTTCATTTGTATAGTACTTCAGAGTTAAAGTACATTTACATACATATCTCATTTGTCAGATTCCTAGGTTTCAAAACCTTGCTATTAAAAATAATGTGAATCAGACAGTATAAATTAAAAGCTTCTTTAACATTTTATATTTTCTATGTTTGTAAGTTCATAAAAGTAGGATCTCAGTACAACTTTACGTGCAAATATCAAATATATGTGTTTGAATAAATATAAAATAATATAAATTAAAATCCAAATTTGGGTTAATGTTAAAATTGGAGGAAGACAAATTACAGCCTCATTTAATTAACTATCTTGAAGTAGTGTGTACTCTCTGATAAGTGAACTTTTAATGGTGCAATTGAGAATTATACAGGGCCAATAGTAGATTCTCAGTAGATATTTGACTCTTTAACAGTACTTTGGCTAAATATTAAGTAGACAACGCTGATGAACTCTGGAATTTGATTTCCATTTCAGTTTATTTCATTAAATACTGAGTGCCTACAATGTACAAAGCATAGCATATGTGCTGTGGAAATACACAACAAATATAACATAATTTCTGCCTTCCAGGAGTAAATAGGTGATCAGCAAATACTTGATTCTAAGGCACACTGTGATATGTATTACTTATAGAAGTAAGCCATTGTGTGTACAATTATTTCAGCAACTTTTGCTGCATAATAAACCACCCCACAACATATTGACTTAAAATAAAAACTACTTATTAAGCTCAAATGTCTATGGTTTAGCAATTTAGGGTAGGTTCAGCAGGACTCACTCACATTTGTGGTCAGCTGTTAGATTAATAAAGGACTAGCTGATTCCATGCCCTATTTAGGCCAACTCTTCTCTTCTCCATGTGATCTCTCATCCACAAGCAGCCTAATCCAGACTTACAGGTATCTTGCTAGCATTCCAAGAGAGCAGGAGGAAGTGTGCAGACTTGAGGCCTACACTTGGAACTAGCAAAACTACATTTCCACTTCATTCTTTTGCCTAGAGCTGATCACAGGGTCAATCCAAATTAGAGAAGTGGGGAGACTCCAACCTATGTTCTGGCTGGAATATAAACCTTATATATAAGGCAAATCAGGAGCATGATTGAGTCACTAAGTGCCAAAAGAGGCCATGAAATAAAGAGACTTTTATGAGCATGAAAAATTATAAAATATTTCTTGGAAAAGTTAGAGAGTTAAACTGAAGGAGAATTAGACGTTAATGAAGGAAGAATGAATTTCTAGTATAGAAAATAGCAAATAAAAGTTTTGTTCAAAAACGTGTGTGTGTGTGTGTGTGTGTGTGTGTGTGTGTTTAGGATCT